AATTCACCATCTGTTAACTCAATAAATATGAGTTCTTAAAGTTAACCTAATTGTCTTGGAATTTGCTGTTTTTGAAGTTGATTAAAGTTATTTAAATTAATTTTATTGTATATCCAGACTAAAACAAAGCATGTCTGCATTTGGATAGATCTTGGCTAATAATTTACAAATAAATGTGCCCATTCCTAAAATGAAAAAAAAAAACAATTTTTCAAGGTATTTTGGATATATGTTATTTATAATACAATGCCCAAAACATAATAAATCTTCAATGTATTTTTAAAGATAAATAAATGTATTGCTGAGTTTCCAACAATACTGCTCTCTGAACACCTCAGGATCTCTCTTCAGTACAATGACAAATGCTCAATTGATGGTCTGGGTACATGTAGTATATGAATTTTATTCTGCATCCTCTCAGGCTATAGCTGGATTAGGTCTCTCTGATCTGTGAAGAGTAGAAGAGTAAAGACAAAACCCAATTGGGAGATCTATCTCTTTATCTGAAATGCTTCCAATTTTTATTAATAAAAATTATACAAAAGTTTCTGACAAAGGTTTGATATTTCAATAGAATTCAGTGCCTAAAACAAAGATACCTCCGAACATTTCACTCAGAGGACACTGTATTCAGATACCCCAGCGGATTATCTTAGATAGAGCTTAGATGTAATGTTAGTCTACCTCAATTGAGACATTCTAATTCTTGGATGCTAGAAATGGGCCAAATACAGTTAATTTTTTTATAAAAAGGAAAATAAAGAGGAAATAGTGCCACTGCAAATATACAATCAGTCATGCAAACCTGGTGGTCCTCCCTGGTGGTCCTCCCTGGTGGTACTGGTTTTGAATGTCTATGTGAAAGTGACTGAGTGGAAATCAGAGTTCACAGAGAAGAAGACTTGGCTGCATCCACAGGTAGAGCCTTTAGCTAGCCACGTTTCTGTTCTGGAAGCTGATCTTTGTTGTTCCTGTCACTAGAAAACTGTATTGATTGCTGATTTTTTCATATTCATGATGGTCTCACACTCTTTAAAACATAACCTCCTAAAGATTAGTGATTTCAGTTTGGAATTTGTATATCTGCATTTTGACTCTATAAATAAGGTACACTATCATTACTCCTCTACAATAATGATATAAATTAAAATTACCATTGTAGTAACACTTCAGGAATCCACACTTCATGTTAGTACATCGGATTCAGAGAGAGAAGGGTGTATCCCAAATGAAACATTTTAAGTAAAAATTTTAAAAAGATAGATTAATGTTTTTGATGTTCTTTTCACTTTGATGGATTACTTAGGGGGAAATTAATGAACATGCTATACTCCTGAGAAAGGTTTCTTGCTGAATTTCTTCACTACATAAAATTACTATTATATTATAATTTCACATCTGTAGCTAGACACCTTCCCAAAGGTGTGAACCCATACTTGAAATCACTTCCTGATCAGCTTCAATAGATGTACAAAGATGTATAATGGATTCTTCAAACTCTATTAGAAACAGAATAATCCCTTAAAAACACACACAAAACAAGAACTCTTACATCTCTGGATAACTTTTGTTCATAGTTTAAATTTCATTTCTGTATTTTTTAATGGGAAGGATGATGTAAAGAATCATGATTATTCTAGTCACAATAACCTAGTTTCTATCGCAAACTCACATTATTTAGTGGTTCCTTTTCTCATCCCTAAATGGAAAATAAATATAAATTGTCAGTTATGAATATATATTGAAGCTTTTAATTAATTAACAAATGTTGTCTTAGTTGGAATCACTATCTGTGAATCTGTGAATTGAAAGTTTCAGGGCATAAAATAGTGAAAAATTAATCTGAGTCTTTTTCTACATTGAGTTCACATTTAGTGAATAGATATGGATTCTATACAAAAAAAGGAGGGAGAGTGTCAAACAAAGTCAAAAATCAAAGATACTTTCATAATATAAAGAATAATATGTCCCTATAAAAGAAAAATCCATTTTACACACACATACACACATTCACACACACAGTATACACACACACACACATTTCTGGGAAACATACATATTCATGTATGTATATGTATGTGTATAGGACAGTGTGTATATTCATACCATGAATCAGCAACTTAGAAAGGACATTACAAATTCCTTCTCCAAACTTTGTCTTCACACACTTCCTCCAAGAATTCACATTCAGGCACCATCTGTTGAATCTAAGCCCCCACACTGCAACCCAAAAACAAAAAGATTTGACAGCATTACCTGTGAATTGTAGCTTCCTCCTTCTATTCACTGGCATTTGTTGTTGTTTTTTTCTCCCATAGGATTTTTGCATCTGGTTGGAGGACATGGACCTTGCTCTGGGCGAGTGGAAGTAAATTCTGGAGAAGGATGGATTCCAGTATCTGATGGGAATTTCACATTACCCACAGCCCAGGTCATCTGTGCAGAGCTGGGGTGTGGCAAGGCTGCATCTGTCCTGGGGAACATGCCCTTCAGAGAGGACAGTGAACAGGTCTGGGCTGAAGAGTTCCAGTGTGAGGGGCAGGAGCCTAGCCTCTGGTTCTGCCCCAGAGTGCCCTGTCCTGTAGGCAGTTGCCCCCACAAAGGAGCTGTGCATGTTGTCTGCTCAGGTGAGACAACAGGAAGTTAACCTCCCTACACAATCTACTGAGGTAAGAAAAATATGTAATGCTGCTAAAACCCTGTCTTCTACCAGGATATACAGATGTTCGGCTCATGAAAAATGGCAGCTCTCAGTGTGAGGGTCAAGTGGAGATGAAGACCTCTGGAGGCTGGAGAACACTCTGTGCCTCCCACTGGAATATGGCCAATGCCAATGT